AAGGTAATGCCAACTAAATAGAGACGTGGCAGGAAGTGCACAATCTCAGGTGTTCAGTGCTAGACATTATCAGAGATTGAGAAATAGCACTTTACCACATCATGATCTATCACATAACAGAATTTTCTATAAATAGGAAATAATCCTACAAATGAGTTAACTTTTCTCTACAGAAATGCCTTTATAAATATACTTAGTTGATAAATAATGAGAATGATAAAAAAAACTGTGTTGTGTCACATATTTAGATGAGTAAATGCAATACTTTCTCATTTATTATGTATCATTGGATTTCCATCAAGCCTGAAAAGTGGTGAGGCAGCTGCAAAGTATAATCTAGTTTGGCATATATAAATATGAGTTGTGTAATAATCTCATTACTTCTTACATTTTAGAAAACTCTACATAATACAATAAACAGAAACCAAGAATATAAATTATTTGGTTTACAAGCTTTTACTAATGAAAAGGACACTTTTATGTTACATATAAAAAGTTATCTTTTTTTCAGTGCTCTGAAAATGTTCATGGGCCCTCCTCCTAGAAATTAACATACATGTATTTATAAAAAATTTAGGTGGACTATAACTGAGCTTTTCAATATCATGTGCACTTTAAAATGATCTACAAAGTTATCAAATATTCCAGTGCCTTGATAGTACTCTTAGAAAGTCTGATGTAATTGTTTTGGGGTGGGTCCTAGAAATCAGCATTTTTAAAGCTCCCTAAGTAATGCCTAACATGAAAGTGGGGATGAGAGCTGCTGTTCAGAAAGTCCCTAAAATATCTACATAAAACTATCTTCATTAACCCACTCATTTAACAAAGACATTAATTAATTATTTGCAACATACCAAGCCAGGAATTTTCAAAAGTCAAAGAAGAATGCAGTCTAGTTTTCTCTTTGTTTCTTAGTCACTACTAATCAGCTTTCTGGCAGATTGCCAGCATGACTCCTATTTAGAGGAGTTAAAAATGAATGAATCTCATTTCCAAACTGGTGTAATCTTTCACAAGGGATATTGTTGCAGATCATTTAAACAAACAAATAATTGCAAAAGAAATAGAAATATATTCCTCAAGTTGTCCTTAATACCATTAAGTAAAGCATTAGATCTCTTAGATGGGTTAAGGAAAAATATAGAGGGCAGGCCATAAAAAAATAATCATTTTCAAATAGACTTACTGAGAATATTCTATTTTGAAACCATATAAAGCAATGTGATTTGGGAACAAACATTTAGCGAAAGCATGAGGAAATGATGCAATGGAGGAGAAATAAATATCTTGGAGCAAGTCAAGCTAACAATAGAACTGAAAAGAGGTGATAAGTAAAACCACATTTATTTAACATTATTATAAATATTGGTCCTGTTTACCCCACCCATTCATCCAGATTCCAAGATGTGACACACATACACACATACACTGTTTCTATTAATAGACTCAATCAATTAATATCATTGTTTAACTTGATTTTCTCTTTATCATACACTTCCATGGAGACATTTCAATGCAAGCATATACATAATTATTTTCCTAACACCTTCTCCTGTCCAAACCATGGAAAAATTGTGGATATAGTGTGGAAATACTGTATTTCACTTAACCAACCCTTTAGTGATAAATATTTAGAGTGTTTCCATTGTTAGCCAAAACAAAGGGAAAGTTCTGAGACTTTTACAGATGTTGGTCTCTATCCAATTAAAATATATATATAATTTCTCAAATACTCATTAATATGCAGATATTAAAGGAAATTAAATCCACAAATTGTCTTAAAATCTGAAAAATTTTTGACTATACTGAATTTTGTGTGTGCGAATTTAACAATTAATGAAAGTGGCATGATATTTTACCCTGTAACTTAATTTTCTTTTCCTACTTTGGAAATAACAAAATTTTTCAAATCTCAATTATTTCCACAGACAACTGAGAATCCTAAGCATCACACTTAGCATCCTTAGTGAATAAAAACTCCCCAAGCAATAACAAGAAAATAACAACAAAAACCAATATATAGAACTTAATATTTGTGAGGGACAATGCTAAGTAATCTATATTTAGTTACATATGCAATCTTCACAATGACTATGAGGTAGGTGCCATTGTTCTTACCATTTCATATTTGAGAAAAACGAGGCATAAAACAAATAATGTGTCTAGTTTCTCAGAGGTAATAAACAGCATTGTGAGGATTCAGGCACAGAGAACAAACCATATAATACTTGTATATATATCTCCACACACTTGTAGGTTAAGGTCCTAGATGTAGAGTTATATGTCAAGGTTATGTGCAAGGTCAATTTTTTTTTCTTAAAGATTTATTTATTGATTCATTCACTCATTCATTCATTCATTCATTCATTCCTTTATTTATGCAAGCACTCGGTACAGTCAGAAGCACGGGAGGGTGGGAGAATTCACCAGAGTCAGAGCAGGGAGCAGAACAGGCAGAAGGACCGAAGTACACTGCTGAGGGGAGCAGTGGACGGGAGGAGAGGTCTGCGAGCCATGTGGGACCCTCCTCCGGTGGCCGGGGAGCAGCCAGGGATCGAACTGGCGCAAGAGAGGCTACGGGCAGCTTCGCAACCCAGCGCTCAACTGCTGCACCACCGGGGAGGCCCTGCAAGGTCAATTTTAATAAACTTTGTCAAACCGTACTCCAAAAGTTACTCCAATTGATGTTTTACATTTTTAATCAAGTTTTATTGATTTACCACTCATTTACATAATATATAATTTGGGGAGTACAGCTTCACATCTTAACATGTGCACATGCTGCAATCTTAAGTTTCTTATAAGCCTCTTAGAGCCGCTTATTTCTCCATACTGTATGCAACACTGAGTACTGTCAAATTATTTAATCTTTGCAATACTAGTAGGTAAAATAGCTTCCTTTTTCTAAAATTTGTATCTGTTGAATTGTTTCAGGTTTATTGATCATTATATTCATTTTTACAAGAATGATCTGCTCAATGTCTTTTTTTTTTTTAAGAGGCATGTTTTATTTATTTATTTATGTGTTTGTTTTGTTTATACATGCACTGGGTACAGTCAGAAGCGCGCAGGAGGGTGAGAGAATTCACCAGAGCCAGAGTGGGGAGCAGAGTAGGCAGAAGGACCGAAGTACACTGCTGAGGGGAGCAGCAGGCGGCAGGAGAGGTCTGCGCGCCATGTGGGACCCTCCTCCGGTGGCCGGGGAGCAGCCAGGGATCGAACCGGCACTGCAGAGGCTGCGGGCAGCTTCGCAACCTAGTGCTCAACCGCTGCACCACCGGGGAGGCCCTGCTCAATGTCTTAATCACATCTATTGAACATAGTATTTCAATAAAATTAACAATACATGATTAATGCTTCAGGGTAGAAAAAGATGTTTAACTATAAAGCACTAATTATGGTAAAGACAGTAAATTTCTTCTTGCATTACATAAAAATATATATAGGTTTTAATGAAGTTACCTAATCGTAACAGCACCAACAGACACATTGAATAACTCATTCTTGAAATACATTTCTTAAGGAACACCCACACTTAAACTCACATTTTAAATACAAACACTGATCAGTAAATGTAGTTAACGTTTTGCCTCAGTAAGAGGTAAGCAATTAAATTTCCTATCATATTATCAAAGATTTATTCTTTTATTTATTACATTCTTGTTCATTGCTTCACCACCTGAATTAAGAAATAATGATTTGTGAGCATAACTTGTTTTGCTCTCATTACACCCTAAAAAAGCAATGTAACAAATTCTTTGATCACAAAACTCTCCTGCTTTCCATTACATATAACAGGTATAGCTATTTTCAATTTAACCATATTATATTCCAATATCTATATGCTCATTCATTCTTGGTGCATATTAAAATTACCTGATTAATTTTAGTGTAAATTCCCTGAAGCTATTTTTTTTAAAGATTTATTTATTTATACAACTGGGGTACAGGCCAGATGCGTGGGAGGGTGAAAGGATTCACCAGAGACAGAGCCGGGGAATAGAACAGGCAGACTGATGAAATACACTGCTGAGGGGAGCAGCGGGTGAGACAGAATGGTTCTACCACACCATGTGGGACCCTCGCCAGCCAACTGGGATGGAACCAGCACTGCAGAGCCTTTGGACAGCTTCACAGCACTGTGCTCAACCACCTGTGCCACCAGGGGAGGCCCTCCCTGAAGCTATTAACCCTTGCAACCTTAAATACAGCAAATATATTTGAATGAATAAATTATTTGGGAGCAAATGATAGCAAAAACTCAATCTTTATAGTATTTCTTCACTAAGCAGCACAAGAATCAAGAAATAGTATTTGTCACTGAGTAAGTGATACACCCTTTTGATATTTTCTTCTCTTTCTTATAGATGACTGTCCTGTATACTGTAGGATATTTAGCAGTATTCATGTCCTCTGCTTACAGGAAATCAGTAAGCACCTTCCAAAATGATCGCAAAAATGTTCTCCAAACATTGCCAATTGTCCCTTAGAGATAAAAAAAAAATCTAGAGCGAGAATCGATGGCAGAAGCTAGCTGACAGTGTAGCATTATAAGTAAAGACAAAAAGATTGCTGTGGAGGTTTCAAAATCTTGGGGGCAGCCTTAATAATCTTAACATGGCTTCGAGGAAAAACTCACTAATGCTGGGCACTCCCATGCCTCAAATTCTCATCAATATTCAATGTAACATGATTGAGTTCCTTCAATACTCAATGTAACATGATTGAGATCCTTCATCTGAATAGGCGATTCAACAAATAATTTTTTATTTCCTTCAATCCCATGTGGATATCTTTAAAGATACTAAACTGCTTTCAAGAGCCAGTCCAGGATCTTATTATTTAGATATGTGTGACACTACAATGTTATCAAACAATACAAAACATTGTTTAATTATATTAGAAAAGTACTTTTGGATAAATGATTTGAGGTACATTTCCAAAAGGTCAGATGATAAAACATATACAATACTCAAGAAAAATTATTTCTAAATACTTACATTACTTGTAAACCTTCTGCTGTTAAGTTATTCCACATGATTTCATTTGCCTGAAGATTTTCATTTTCTTCTAGTAAGGAACAATCAAACTCAATTTCTTGCTCTTTAACAGCTGTTGTTCTAGTAAAGTATGACAAATAATTTTGATCAATATGAACATACTATTATTATGCATCATAGTACACACCAAAGTGAGAATATTTTTTGTATCCAAAATTACATTAACAAAGTAAACACAAATAGAATAAATCAAGCTCCAAGCAACAAAAATCTACTCATGTAGCTTAAGCCTTAGTTTCCTCATTTGTAGAATGTTGATATTAGCAATTTTTCTCCTGTCACAATTGTAATAAAATAAGATGATGCATGTATAAAAAAGTAATTGGTATATCACACAACATTTAATATACTTGTAAAGTTATAGTATTATTATTATTATATAAATGTTAAAAAGAAGATATCATTCCATGGCTTAAATATGGACTTAAACAACAAAATAGCAACTAAACAATCTTTCAAGATCATACACAATTTAAACAGCTATCATCTTTGAAAATAATTAAAAGCAAACAAACAAATTTGAAATATCCTATGTCCTAACAAGCTCTTAAATATTTCTCATTTTAATTTGGCTAAATACTAAATGGCAAGAAAAAAACTCATACTGTCATAAAGTGGAGAATAAAAATATTATACATACCTGTGAACATCTATGAAATTACTATATTCTGTGCTAGGGTCTATCTGTTCAACCGACATTTGAATTTCTTTATGGACATTCACTATTTCCTCTGTAACAAGACTGGTTATCTGGCTGTATTCCTCAAATATACCTTTTCTGAAAATAAACAAAAAAATATTACAACATATTTAAGGCATACCAAGAGAAGTAGGCATAAAAAGGATTCATAAGCCACCTTATTTCATGTACCTGGATAGTCAAGTGAAGGTATTATACAAATGTACAGGTTAACAATTTACATTTGACAGCACCACCATGGAGACCTCAACAATTTACATTTAATATAATAATTAAAAAAATAGCTAGAATAAGGCATTCCCTTTTCAAATGTATATTTGACATGTATGAAATGTGAGGTCAATACTGATCCCTTTGTATTTTTAAACAGTATGACAGAAATTTTTGGATTCCATAACACAGCTTCTTGTCCAGAGTCTACCACTTCCTCAAATTCCCAATCTCTTGGTCTAATTTAAGAATGCTATGGAATTCTGTAAAAACCTAACATTACTCATTAGTGGCCTCAATGAGTGTGTACAGACAAGCTTAACCCTGCATATGCCCAAAATAATATAAGACATGGGTTTGTTTTTCATTTCTAAATCACTCAAAAATAAGCAACATTACAAAATCTCCTGTATTACAAAGCATCCTTCAATGACTTTATTTTAAATAGCAAAATACTGTTTGGGTAACAATAAATAGGTTTATACTGCTCAGGCAATACTGACTTTGTAGTAAATTTTAATAGAATAATTTGGAATGATTACAGAAATCACCTGACAGATACAATTTAAGGAAAAGGGGAAGGCAGTATAATTCAATAAAGTTTAGTAAATATTTCTAAGTTTATATGTCATAAGTGAAAGCACTGAATGACACTAATGTAAATGGGTCTAGCTAGATAGCCATCATAAAGACACAATGTACATATTTACCTTTAAGACAAATGAAGAGAGGAATCTCCTAATGTTACATGAAGAACTACTTGCAACATAGGATCCAATTTCAATGATCTCTCATGCCTGCATTTTTTTAATGTTAGATATAAAATAACTAATTATAAAGATCCTTATGCTAACTTAATAATGCAGCTTGTGAAATATAACTTTTATGTAAAAGTTTAAGTAGTCAAAATAGTATTAAAGTCATTTTATAAAGGGGTTTATGTCCAACAGGAAATATATCTTACAGTGCATTGATCATTTCTTCTTGCATCTTCTGCAGGGAGTCCAAAAGCAAGGGAAGTGTGGAATCATAATACTGATTCTGATGAAGTTGTGCCCCTTTCAATGCCAACACATACTGATTATGCAACATATGTAGTTTCGTCGTGGCTTTATCATAACGTTCCTTGGCCTTTTCTGTTTCTTTTCCTGAAGAAAACATAGAGGAAAATTAACAAACAGATCATTAGAAAATATTTTCTTCAGTATGTGACAACTGGGTGACCAATGTTTTATGTTGTTTCACACATTTTATCAAAGCTTATTAAACAAACATCTTCTGAATTCTACACAAAGTATTGTATGATTTATGTCAGCAGTCTGCACAGAGGCTGCTATGAAGGTAACTGCTTGGTCAATAAAGAAAAATGTACAATTTTCTATAAAATAATAGAGATACATGATCCTTCATGTCATCAAGGAGCGTATACCAAACTGAAACAATATACTTGAAACTGTATAACCAAGAAAAAAAGGAAGTTCGTAAATTTTAAATTTTGAACTCTTTCTTTGAGAAATCAATAAAAATAATGACAGCAGAAATTTTAATGAGGAGACCTTAAAAGAGATAGCATGTCCAAAAATGTGTAAGAAAGAGGACAAAATTTCTCCATCTCATCTACACTTTCTGCCTTTCATCCTTTCATTCAATAAATATCATTAACTGATCACCAGTTAATAATATTAACTGGTGCATTAAACATTGGAAATTCAATATTTGACAAAACAGAGTACTTTATATAGAGTTCATGGTTTAGTGAAGTAGAATATTAAGGAAAATCATGGAAAGAATAAGCAAAGAGTTATGTTTCATAAGAAAGAAATAAGGCAAAGAAAGAAATAAGCTCAAAGAGCAAGTTTTAAGGAAGTGAAGGAAATGCATATATTGGTAGGGAAATTTTAGGTTGTAAATCACTCAAAAATTTAGAAAAAGTAGAAAAATTTAGATTTGATGTGGGATAAATCCAGGATATAATGATGTCATGAATTAAAAGTTTTTGATTACTAAAATCATTTTAAAAATATTTACAGATATCATAAATGATTGGCATGTAACATTTCTTGTTAATTATTTAGACAGAGGGAATAAACCGTTCAATTTCTTTTTAATGTTATCCATTCCAAGAAGTGTTATCCAAATGAATCTTCTCCCAGAAGTAGATCTCCTCTGCTGCCACTCTATTTTAGCCTCAGCACCTATTCCCTACAGATCACAGTCAGAAAAGTATTTGCTGTTAGAGAACCCCTCTAACCCACAGTCAAAAGTAGAGAAAATATCAATTTTTGCAGAGAGGAGACCATGCCCAGGCAGAGCAAGAGAATGTCTTTCTCATCACCACTCAAATCCTGAGGCACAGGATCTACATCTAGCTGGTGAAAAAGGAAACAACCGCTGCCAGCTCACAGATACACCTCAACTACCAACAAATTCTAGTGTTTCCAAGGACAGTAGAACCTTAAACAATACAGGCTTGCACAGCATGGGTCTGCTTACAGATGGGTTTCCTTGTAAACATATAATTAAATACAGTAGTGCAGTACTATAAATATATTTTTCTTTTGATTTTTCTCAATAACATTTTCTTTCCTCTAACTGATTTTATTGTAAGAAAATATTACGTAATACATATAACAATACGTGTTTATCAACTATTTATGTCATCAGTAAAGCTTCTGGTTAATAGCAGGCTACTAGTTAAGTTTTAGAGAAGTCAAAAGTTATAGGAGGACTTTTGATGCACAGTGGTCAATATTCCTAGTCCCCAAACTGTTCATGGTTTCAGTAACCAATGACTTTTCTTACAGAGCGCACAAAATTATTTTAGAGAGTATAAATCTCAAGTCATAGACCATTAGCCTGCTCCTGCATATAGAGAGATTAATAATTGTTCAAGTTATTAAAAAATGTTGCTCTATGGGCCTCCCCGGTGGCGCAGCGGTAGAGCGCTGGGTTGCGAGGCTGCCCACGGCCTCTGCGGCGCCGGTTCAATCCCCGGCTGCTCCCCGGTCACCGGAGGAGGGTCCCACATGGCGCGCAGACCTCTCCTGCTGCCCGCTGCTCCCCTCAGCAGTGTACTTCGTTCCTTCTGCCTGTTCTGCTCCCTGCTATGGCTCTGGTGAATTCTTTCACCCTCCTGCACTTCTGACTGTACCCAGTGCGTGTATAAACAAAACAAACAAACAAACAAATAAATAAATAAATAAATAAATAAATAATGCCTCTATTAAAAAAAAAAAATGTTGCTCTAGATAACCTATTTCACTTTATAACATAATGAACTCAGGGAGGAAATAATTTACTCACCACATTATCTTTCTTCACCCCTCCCATGGCTGATTGGACACAGATTCTAATGCTAATTTAGTTCTGATCAGAAGGAATTAGAAAGCAGTAACATAAGCTACTAAAGAAGCCTATTTTCTCACTTTTTTTAAGTACAAATAATAGGATAATATATTTTATGTCATAAATCAGTAAACAATCATCCAAATTTTTAAATCAACAACTAAAATGAATTTATGAAATAATTCTCCCCTTTAGTGTAAAGAAAGCCATGGTATTTTTTAACTTGTAGTATATTTTTATTTTGAATATTTTTAAATGTTCACTCAGAACCCAATAATTTTTTTTTGCCTCAATAAATGTAAATCTTTATAGAAGATTTAACTCATTCTGTACGGCACTAGGTAGAAACAAAGGTTCAGCAATAATACTAATCAAAAATGATTAACATTCTCAGGAACACTTCTCTAATGTGTTCAGTTACTATACTAGTTTTTCATAGAATAATGTATTTATTTAGTGGGCCTCCCCTGGTGGCACAACGGTTGAGTGCTGGGCTGCAAGGCTGCCCGGAGCCTCTGCAGCGCCGGTTCGTTTCCGGCCGCCAGCAAGGGTCCCACCAAAAAAAAAAAAAAAAGAATAATGTATGTATTTAGCTATAAATATTTCTATTTAGCATCCCTACAGAAACACATTACAAAAAAAGCCCCAAACTGGCCACACAATTAACCTATCTATGGCCAACCCCTAATCTTCCTTAAAAAATTCCTTTTACTCATCACCCACAGAAGTCAAGACACTAATATGAAGCTGACACCCAAGATTCAAGGTACACACCTGACCAAAAAGGAAGCAATCATTTAGCTGAATGCTTTCACATTAATGCCTGCAGCAGGGTACCAGAGTAGCCCTTTCTAAGGCCCTTTGTTTTTTTGTTTATTTTGCTTTATTTCACCTTATTTAAGCTACTTTGAGTTTTATTACTTGATGTTCAACAAAATCCAAAAAACTCCTTAATCATATCAGTTTTTATAAATATATTACATTTACATGAAATTTATTATTCCTAATTAATTAGATGATTTTTTAGTATAAATTTAGAAATCAAGCTCTCCACACAAACATTTTCAAGGAGACATTTAAATTATTTAAACCATCCATCTGTCCGCCATTTGTACAGATTTTTTTTTTTTAAAGATTTATCTATTTATCTATACAAGCACCGGGCACAGTCAGAAGCACAGGAGGGTGAGAGAATACACCAGAGCCAGAGCAGAGAGCAGAACAGTCAGAGTGATGAAACACACTGGTGAGGGGGGCAGCGGGCGGCAGGAGAGGTCTGCTGTGCCATGTGGGATTCTCGCTGGCCAGCCAGGATTGAACCGGCGCTGCAGAGGCTGTGGGCAGCTTCACAGCCCAGGGCTCAAGCGCTGCGCAACCGGGGAGGCCCTATTTGTATAAATTTTTAAACTGCACACTACCCGTCTGTTAGCTGCTGCAGAATGATTCACTAAATACAAAATACTTAGATTCACCAAGATTTTGTAATCCAAAATAATATCAGAAAGTTAAGAATTTCAAAAACTGGAGCCTCCCTGGTGGCGCAAGGTCTTAAGACACAGCAGTATGAAGCTATCTACAGCTACTGCAGCACCAGTTCGATCCCCAGCCAGGTAGGTGACCCACATGGCACAGCAGACCCCTCCTGACCTGCCAGATGCTACCCCTCAGTAGTGTATTTCAGTCAGTCCTCCTGTTCTGCTCCCCACTCTGTCTCTGGTGACTCTTCTCACTCCCCCAAACACGCCCGCCCGCCCACATCTGGTCTGTAGCCCAGGTTTTGTATGCATAAATAAACAAATCTTTAAAAAAAAAGAATTTTCAAAACTTTTTTTCTTTATGAAATATAATGTTTAACAGCCTGAGAAAACTATTACAGACAAAATCAAATTATCATCAGTGGCTCTCAGCATAATTTAAAAAACAAGTGAATGCTTTTTGAAACATCCAAGGCAAAATCCATTACATTAAAATAATAACAATATTAATAGTGGCAATAATAATAATAAATTCTTTAAAAAACTGAGTTTAAATTTGCATTTGCAGGTATGTTTTAATGTTTTTTTGGATTTTTTTGTACTCTACAACTCATATATACTTGTGAATTTGGCTACAAGGTATACTTACACATGCATATTGACCTATTGATTGATCTATCTCTATTTCCCTTCTAACCTCCCTGCATTAGAAATATAAGAGATTCAGGGCCTCCCTGGTGGCGCAGCGGTTGAGTACTGGGTTGTGAAGCTGCCCGCAGCCTCTGCAGCGCCAGTTTGATCCCAAGCCGCCAGGCGAGGGTCCCACATGGCGCAGACCTCTCCTGCCGCCCGCTGCTCCCCTCAGCACCGTACACTTCGGTCCTTCTGCCTGCTCTGCTCCCTGCTCTGGCTCTGATGAAATCTCTCACCCTCCCGACTTCTGACTGTACCCAGTGCTTGTATAAATAAATAAATCTTTAAAAAAAAAATAGAAATATAAGAGATTCAGAAGCATGCTCACTTGTCATGACTTGAGAGGGATGCTATTATACTTTTTCCTGATTTATTTCAAATAAATATTTTAGCATCCCCTAGAGACTATACAATTAATGCAAGAAAAATACTACTACTGCAGGAAAATAAAGTTGCAAAATAATTTTATCCTATTCAATTATATATATTATAAGCACTACTTAGTATAATTCTTGCCACAGAGGAATCAAAGAAGTAATTTTGGTTCCGAATATAACACATCACAACTTTAGTATTTTTTAAATTACTATATTTGAGTTTAATATAGTTTGAAGTATACAAAGTGTATAAATTCT